TTTTCGTAGGTACAAAAAGTTTGAGCCTTTCATATTAGCTTCCCAAGAAAATCAAGTTTGCTTCATTCCATACCCTCGGATTACTACCTCGGGAATAAACTGGTTAGCTGTTATCAAAGTTACACCTCGAGGACGAATAATCGCTGGAGAAGAACCACCATTACATGAAGAAAACACCAATGAGATCGAGGAAGCTGAAGCAGAAATTGATGAGTTCCTACTCATTGATCCGCATAATCGTCAATACGAAGATGTTCCTGATCACTCAACGAACGAAGGTGTAGACGACGAGATTTTAGAAAATGATGATGTTTCAACAAATTACGACAATGTATCCGAATGAATTATGTATGTTTATAAGTTTGTTTAATCACAAAATCAATTTGGATTATATATGTTTTAAGTTTTTTTAATCACAAAATCAATTTGCATTTGGGGTTTGGGGTTTATGTTTAGAAGAGGTTAGGAGTTTGGTTGTAGAAGAGGTTATAAGTTAAGGAAGTTGTGGTTTGGGGTTTGGGGTTTCGAGTTTAGGGATTTATAAACCCTTTCCTCGTAAAGCCTAGTAATAGAAAACACGGGCATAGCAATTTCCTCGTAAGGTCTTCGTAATGGTTGTACTACGGCTTTACGAGGAAAAAAACGCGGGCATAGCTATTTCCTCGTAAAGGGTTTTCCTCGTAAAGCCCTAGTACATCCATTATGAGGACCTTACGAGGAAATAAAAACACGGGCATAGCTATTCCTCGTAAGGTCCTAGTAACATTACTAGGGCTTTACGAGGAAACAAAATTCCTTATATATACTCGAGCAATCCGGTTTCTCATTTGCTAGTAACCTTCTCTCTAAATCCTCTAAAGGTTCTTTCTAATCCGTAGTTAGGTGATTAGATTAGGGAATTTAGATTAGGTGGTTAGTTTAGGGAATTTAGATTAGGTGGTTAGTTTAGGTAATTTAGATTAGGTGGTTAGTTTAGGTAATTTATATTAGGTTGGTTTACTTTTATTTACTGTTTTTTAAATTATATGGGAATTAATGTTATGATTTTTTTTTTTAAAAATATAGATGCCTAGACAGAGCAAGCTTTCTAAGGCTGCTGGTAAGAGGACGTCGTCTCTCGAGGGGATAAGCTACGGAGATATGTTTGGGCGTCAGGATGCTTCAGGTTCATCTTCGTCAGCTCCCGGTTCATCTTCGATTCCCGAGACTCAGAGAGCTTCTACGGCGTCCCGGCAACCACCTCATCCTCCTCCTCCTCCACCGGTCGGGGTTCATCCCTTTGTAGGTGCCGCCGAACGCACCCTTTGCGCTGTACACGGTGGAGGATATTTTGGCCCTTCCAGGCAGAGAAGGGCTGGCAGAGTTAGATCCTTACCGACGGGACGGCCAAAACATATTATGGTATGTTTTAATTTTTAAAAAGTTTTTTAATTTATTTCTTAATTAACAAAATATTTAGAAATTAGTCTAATAATGATTTATTTTGTGTCTTTCCAAGTTTGGTCTTGACAATTGTGTCGGATCTAGCGTCACAGACTGTATCAAGGGATACTTTCCCGATCCAGCTCCAAATTGGAAGATGACGGCGAGCCACACAAAAAAGACGTGGTTCAAATCGTTCGCTGTAAGTTTAATTCGTTAATTTATTTTTCATTATTTAAAATTATTAATATTATTGAACTAATCCGTCTTTTATTTTTTTTGGTTACAGCAAAAGTATCGTTGGTCTATTGGGATTCACTAGCGAGTGAAGAAGGAGTTTGAGGCCAAGGCAAAAGCACGATCGCTCGACATGGTCTACAACTGTAAGGGCGACTATGAGGTATAGATTTATAAATTATAATATATATATAGTTTTAAAAATACTATATATATTGACTTTAATTCTATTTTTTTTAAATCAGGTGGATGGTTACGAGGCCGGGAACCCCGATTGCCTCACAACCACGGTGTGGGATGGCCTCATCAGCTATTGGGGGTTGCCGGACTCGGTCAGAACCTCCAACACAAACTCCAGGAACCGCATGACCAAAGACGAGCATGGCAACACGAAGGTGCTTTACACCACGGGTCAAAAACCTCACGGGGGAGTTCGTCTAGACATGGTAAGATGATTTTTAATAACAGTTTAAATTTTATTTTATTTGAATATTCCAAATTAATATTTAATTTTATAAATTAATTTTAGGCTAAGGAGACACGAGTTCTTCCATCTCTGAAAGACCTTTACGAGAGGACCCACCGGAACAAGGCTGGGCAGTTTGTAGATCCTGCTTCCGAGCGGATCTACAACGAGCTTGTTGCCCGAGTTGACGAACGCTAGACCCAGCTGACTCAGCAGACTGGGACTCCAGTCATATTATATACTGTTGACGTGGATAAGATTTACGAGGAGGTAAATAATTTGTTTTACTATTAATTTTTAATATTTTTTTTTAAATTTGTTCTTAATGTTATTAATATTTTTATTTTCAGGTCGCCCCTAGGAAAAAGGGCATATCATTGGGATTGGCTCGGTTAACGATGTCCCTGCAGCGACATCGTCTTATCATCAAGAGCAGCACGATGTCAATGCTCAGCTGCGCTCGGAGTTGCAGGCGACGCAGTCTCATGTGACTTCGCTCACCGAGCATGTGACTTCTCTCACCGATGTCCTCGACATTATGGCGGTTGGAAATCCGCATGTGCAGGAGATGTTGCGTCATAGACGGGAACGTGGAGGGATTCCAACCCAACAGCATCCACCATCACAGTCACAGCCGGCAACCAACTATGGAGAGGATTTGCCGAGCCAGGATGACGACCAGTTCGTTCAGCAATTTTATGACCAACATCCGTAGTTTTTTTTATTTTTAATTGTATATTATGGATTTAAAAACTTTTTGTATATTATTTAGGTATTTATAAAATATTTTGTTCTTTATTTTTTATTTATAATTTGATTTTTAAATTTTTTTAAAAATTAAAATAATTATTTATAATTATTTTTTTTAATAGGGAAAAAAACATTTCGAAGCAAAATCCTCGTAAAGGATTCCAAGTAATGTCCTCGTAATTAGTTCTAGTAATTTCCTCGTAATCTATTACTACGATCTTACGAGGAAAAACTTACTACGAGCTTACGAGGAAAGCGTAAGAGGACCTTACGAGGAAAATATAACCACGCCTTTACGAGGAAACATTTCCTCGTAAATTCGCGAGGATCTTACGAGGAAAATGGCTTTACGATGAACGTGTTTCGAGGAAAACCCGTCCTAGTAATGGACGAGTTTTCTTGTAGTGTACTTCCAACTTGAATTAGGGAGATCAGTTTCTTGAACTCCAATTAAGCTCTTCATGCCTTCCTTTCTTTTGTACCGCCTCTTCCTAGAATTGGCCCAGTTTTTGTAGAACCTTCTCTTGATCTCTTCACTTAATTTGCGATGAGTTTTGTTGATGAATCTCACTGCTACAAGAACTCTGGTCACGTCCTCCATCTTGCCTACGTGAGATCTGGTAAGGATGTTGGCCTTCTTCTCAACACCCGACACATGCTCCACTGGTGCATGTGCTGTGTTACACGCTTCCATCTGTGTATCGCATACCTCTGCGTGAGTAGTGTTACACGTTTCCATCTTTGTGTTACATACCTCTGTATGTTTAACACCAGCCCATCTAACCACATGCTCCACTGGTACATGTGTTGTGTTACACGCTTTCATCTATATGTTACACATGATTCCTTGAGCATCTATCTCTATTTCATCTCCAGCTTTTGACAACTTGTAACTCAAATCCATTGGAATTGAGTTGTGTTACACACTTCAATATTTGTATCACACCAGATTTCTTGAGCAGGACTCTCCTCCTATATCTTGATTTCATGTGCTCCTTGAATCTTGTAGATCCACTTTAACCATGTAGGTTTAGCACCAGCCGGTCTATCTACAAGCTCCCACGTCTTGCTTCTTGTGATAAACTCCATCTCGCCTTTCATAGCTTCAACTCTATTTTCTTCACAAATTAGATTGAACATAGCTGAGGTAAACTCTCTCCCTCTATCGGTGAGAACGGTTTGATGGTTTCCTTCAACCTTTTGAACCGATCGAATACATCATGCTTTTTCTTCAATAGTATAACTGGGAATTCATGTCTAATTTGCTGCTCTGTTAGACATGTGTTATACACACCTTCTCCGTGTGTTACACTAGGAAATGAGTGTTTGTTTTCCTTCTCTGTGACACATGCATCACACACGCCTTCTTCATGTGTTAAACTCGAAATTACTTTGACTAATGTCTGAACTCTCACCTTCCTTACACGAACAGATCCAAGGTGGCGTGACTTGATGACGTTTTTCTTTTGATCATCCGAACCAGGTTCTATTGTGCCATAAACACACATCTTAACCTGCATTCTCATCGACCAAACTGTGTAGCTCGTCGACGTTGACATTGGACATTAGATGGATGTAGATCCAAAGTCCTTTAAGTGTGGTGTATCCCTAGTCACGTCAGCCATCTTACCTTCGCGATCTCTGCTTCACAGTCACCAGGATCAAAGCTTCAACTTATGCTTAGATCGAGTCTCCAACATGAGGTTCTGATATCAATTGCTTCTCTCTGATACATGATGTCCTACCCTTTGCTTTGTTTTGCAGCAACAGAAACTTTTCACATGACAGCTAGCTTATCCCAATGGTTTCGCTGAGGTATGCAAAGATTGGATGAGAGAAATACAAGAAAAATGACAAGGGACGGAGTGATTGACTTTAGAAACTAGTGCTTTTAGTTAAAAATCATTTGACATTGTAGCTTAGTTGAATCTCAGATAGCCAACAGATTCGATCGAACTAAAACCGAGAAAATATAAGAATGAAACCAACATGGACAGAGAGTTAATATTCATATCTTCGATCGTTATTGGCTAATAATAGATAGCTTTACAAGGAGAATTTTGATGTGTAAACCGGACAGTAAAATCAGAAGAGTCCTAGATGAACCAAAACGGAACCTAGAGAGTCAGTCCATGGTGTCTGCTCGAATCTTTGGTCTAACATTCTTCAAGCGAGCAGAGGCGAAATGAGATGATGAACCTTCTGATTCCCTGCAAAGCAAAGAATTACTATGGTAGCATGATTTCATTGAGAGATGATATGTTGGAGTAAAATGGTGAGTCCAATGAGCCCATACAGGTGAAGTATGATCTCTGCGATGAAGACCGCAGCGAGGAGGCTGCTTGTTGTTGAATATCCTCAGATATATATATATGGCTGATATATTTATTGGCTATGGCCAGCTTTCATGAAAAGAATACCTGAAAGATTGTTGACTGAAGGATAAGCTAGTGTGCAAAAGTGAGGAGGATCCCACAGGAGGAGGGTCTATATGCACTAAAGATGATCCTGCAAGGAGCGGTGTGCTCTCTGAAGCTGATGGCTCGTCCATGCTTATTCTTGCATCTCGTTTACACACTGGGTAAAACGTTCTCCATGATGTAACCACAAGTCTACACAAGCGGCATGAAACTCTGTAAAAACACCAAAAGTTCACTAAGTTGGTTTGTTTCTAACGAGATAGTATAGGTTTAAATCTCATATACTTAACTGTGACAGCAAGGTAAGACCCTAAGCTTGTCCCCAACAATGTAATCTTCAAGGCAGATAGCGCAAGACAAAGCAGTTGTGATGTATCCATGCACAGAAGTGAATCTAACACTCGGCAGTGATTTCACCATCCTATCGATCATCACATGGAACTGGGATATATTGTTTCTACGTGATGTGCAACGCCTATAGACGAAGACACAAGTGGTTAGAATAAGAAACATGTTCAGTGATACGAGCAATGCGATGCACACGAACGACGCCCACCCAGAGTCCTCTAAACTAGGGACAAGCATGACTCTTGTATCCACCATGCCAGCGTACTTTTTGAGTGTTTCTCCTGCTGCTTTCGACACAAAGACCGCTTGAATGTTTATACCATACTCGTCTCCATCCACTGAAAAGAAGATTTTAAAATCAAGATTTGTAGCTCGAGATTTGGATACTTTGTTTAGTACAAGATTTTACTAGATAATAAGAACTCGCGGTCCACATCGTCATGGACAATGGCAGCCTTGAAACCGGTTCCCTGAGCGTTTCTGACTTTCTGCTCAAAACTGCAGCCTCCTCCTCTCACGATCAACGCGATCGGGAACGTACCATTAGTGCTCTGCTTCGGTCTATTCCTCAATTGTTGGCAAGCGTCGAGAGGATCAGCCACGTAAAGGACTCCGGTTTCTACCGTAGCCTCTTCTGATGGAGCTGGAACAGGAAGCTTCCATCAGCATTAGAGAACAAGTTTTTAGATATAACAGATCATCATTCATGTGCGTGTGTCAGTGTGTGAGTGGTGGAAATAAGAAAAAAAAACTCACAGAAATAAGCTTCCATGTCTTCGAAAGACAGAGTGATGTTGGAATTTAACAAAACGACTGTGCCTGCATCTACACATGAAACAATGAAAATGTGTACTATTAGGAGGAACAGGAACAGAGCACCAAGATTCATCGTCTGCTGTCTTTCCAAACAATAACACAACTCGGTTTGAGGGGTTATTCGATTGAATGTTTTACTTTTTGGCTATGAATATAACCATAACATATGTTCTTAGTAATTCAGTAGTTCTTAATATATGCTAAAATATGGTAGTACTCAATTAATGATTTTTACAACTTGTGGATTGTTAGTTTCATTTTTATGATTGTTTATAGTAAACAGAACTAAAATTATACTCTTTTTTGTAACACATAATTATACTTAATAAATTTATTTTGACCTTTTATCTTAAAATTTTAACTATTGTATAAGAGAAATCTAGTTAGATATGATAATTATTTAAAAAGTATGTAATCAATCCAACTTTCACATTCGACATTAAAAAATCCAGCTCTCATTTATATAAAAAAAACTATATAATAGTTTTTTCTCTTTGTCATCCCCTTATATATTATTTGAGAATTGATTTTGACAAATATCACTACTACATTCATTCTCACAAAAAAATGATGACCTAACATACCACAAAAGATGACATGTGTGACATGGATAATAACATTACTATTTTTTTTGTAAGCTTTTTAAATATGGTAATATATATCATCATTAAATATATATTATTTGAAAATTGTATAACTTATAAATCATCATTAAAATAAATATAACTAAATATAATATTAAATAATATATTTACAAATTTAAAAAATATTATTTTTGTTTACTTATAATTATATCATTTTATTACTACGGAAAATTTTCAGAATTCTATACAATCTTTTATAAAAATTAATACCATTTGTTTATTTTTGAAATCTCAAATTTTAGAATTTCTTTTTAGTTTTATTTTCTGATAATTATATACTTTATATCATTTTCTTAATTTTATACAAATTAATTGAATTTAGCTTAACCACAAATATAAACGACAATCTATCCAATATCATAATTTTAAATATACTTAAAATAAATTAATTTTTTTATTTTCTTTAAATTTATAAATAAATAAATGAAAATTTATATTAAAATGACAAAAAGGCAAATCTCTCAAAATGACATTTTAAGTTTTTATCACAAAACTAAACCTTAACAATTAAAATGACCAAAATAACATTTTTTATTTTGAAAATTTTAAGTTTTATTTTTATTTTTAAAATTTGAAATCATATCTCCAAAAATCCACTCCTCAACTCTAAAAAAAAGACCTATTATTAGTTAACCCAAAGGATATAAATGTATATTTACTTATTTTTGATAAAACATTTAAGTTTATTTTTACCATTTTTATTTTAAAGTCTATATTGTGAAAAAAACTTTTTTAGGTCTATTATAGGGAATTTCTCTAACAAAAATATAAAATATTAACTAAAATTATTTTCAAAAATATAACTTTAAGTAAAAAAATTAGCATGCACATGATGCAGTAAAATACCTAATTTATAGTACAAAACCAATCTAATAATAAAGGATTTTAACGCTTAAACCCATGAAAAAATTTTCATTCTAGTAAAAACCTCCCAATAAAGTTTATAACATAAAAAGCACCCAAGTCGTTTTCTTTAAAGTATTCCCTCCATCCACACTGACGTTAAAAACTAAATATCCCTTATATATTAAAAGAGAAACATTTTGCATTAAATGCGTTCACATTGTAATTTTAGACAATGCTGATGTGTCGCTTCCAGAATGCTTCTCACAAAAAATATTACCAAATTCATAAAACATATTTTTTAAACTTTCCATATTACGTGTCTTGACATATAAAAGACCAAATACGAAAGAAAGCAAAACCCTTTGAAAGCACTCTTGAACTCGATGTTTTGGTTTCTTCGTTAGTGTCAATTTCACCAGGAACTCGAGATGAAAAACCTCGACTTAAGCAGTATAGGAAGCTTGGTGATTGGAGTAGCAGAACACTGAACGAGACTACTCGATGAATTAACAGTCAGCGAGGGTGTACAAGCTCGTATGGATGGAATCATGTTTCAGAAACTTGGCCGAGTTTCTTTCGCAGCTCCTATCATTGATCTTCTTAAAGATTACGTCAATCGATGAGAATTAAAGATACCAAAAACTCTTGACATCAGAGTTTTCGTCAACCTTTGAACGTCATGGTTACAATGAGAAATATTCCTTCACTAAGAAAATTGGATTCCAGAGCTCTCTCAACGTCTCCGTGAGAATTGCAAGCTCAAGTAGCAACCAATCTCAACCGTATGACGTCAGATAAGAAGCTAGAGATGATAGAGATGGAGAAATCGTCAAGCAGTTACAGCGAAATCTAAATTGTGATGGAGATCTTGCGGCGGGTTCTACGATGCAACTAAGTCAATATTAAAAAAAAGGTTGCCAAGAGAAATGAATTAAACCCATGTATATACATATGCAGATGAGCAAACATATCTAAAGCGAAATGAATTTAACGTATTTATTCATGGTTGTGGGCATACAAACGAACCTTCAAGTGGTTGATTCATGTTGACGATGATATTCACGTTAACGTATGTATTCATGGTTTCAATTCACTTTACTTTTTCTTTATAAGTTATATAAAACTTAGACATATTAATAAGTTCATAATAATAGACGATAGGTGTTTAGATGTTTATATGTTTTCTTTTCATCATTTAGAAAAAACAAATCATTTTTAGATATTACAAAATAATAGGAAAAAAAATGATGGCTGCATGTTGTCGACGAGTGAAATTAAGCCAATAACTATAACTATATAATCCTAACCATATTACAAAGTCAAAATGATTTAGTCTAAACCAACATATAAAATTGATATAGTCTAAACTAATTCGACATATTTATAATTGCCCTTTTGAAATGTATGTTAATAATATTAAACAAATATTTATTTAATTAAATAGATGACTTTTAGTTGAGTAGGAAGTTTATATAAGCTACCAAATCATATTCAAACAAAAAATGTATATAGAAAG